AATGTGGTTGGTTTAGTAATAACTGTAGTATATGTAATTGTATTTACATTCGTCTCAGTTTGAGTTGTTAGGGTTGTAGTTGTCGTCACTTGAGTAGTTGTCGGCCTAGTGATCGTAGTTACAATAGTTGTTGGAATTACATTGGTAGTGGTTTGTGTAGTAACTGTTGTAAATGATGATGTGATCAGAGTAGTTGTTGTGATTGTGGTTGGTCGAGTGATAGTAGTAGTAGTTTCTGTTTCCGTGGTTGTCGTTTGAGTTGTCTGGGTGGTCTGAGTGGTGGTCTGAGTAGTTTGAGTGGTGGTAGTTGGTTGAGTTGTAGTAACAGTCGTAAATGTGGTTGGTTTAGTGATAACTGTATTAGTTGTAATTGTATTAACGGTAGTCAAAGTTTGAGTTGTCAGGATTGTAGTTGTATTCACTTGAGTGGTTGTTGGCCTAGTGATCGTCGTTACAATAGTAGTTGGAATTACAGTGGTAGTAGTTTGGGTAGTAACTGTCGTAAATGATGATGTGATCAGAGTAGTTGTTGTGACTGTGGTTGGTCGAGTGATAGTAGTAGTGGTTTCTGTTTCTGTGGTTGTCGTTTCAGTTGTCTGGGTGGTCTGAGTAGTGGTCTGAGTAGTTTGAGTTGTCTGAGTGGTTTGAGTGGTGGTAGTTGGTTGAGTTGTAGTAACAGTCGTAAATGTAGTTGGCTGAGTGATAACTGTAGTAGTTGTAATGGTATTAACAGTAGTCAAAGTTTGAGTTGTTAAGGTTGTAGTTGTCGTCACTTGAGTGGTTGTTGGCCTAGTGATCGTCGTTACAATAGTAGTTGGAATTACAGTGGTAGTGGTTTGGGTAGTAACTGTCGTAAATGACGATGTGATCAGAGTAGTTGTAGTTTGCGTGGTCTGAGTCGTAGTTTGCGTTGTTTGCGTCGTGGTTTGCGTTGTTTGCGTCGTTTCCGTTTCGGTAGTTTGCGTCGTCTGCGTGGTTTGCGTCGTCTGTGTGGTTTGCGTCGTTTGGACTGTAGTAGTGGTAGTTGGTTGATTTGTTACCGTTGCCGTTGTCGTTGTTGTAGTTGTTGTTGGTACAGCATCATGGACCGTTGTAGTTTTAATTTCCTCGACAGTCGTAGTTACGGTGATATATTTTGTGCCACTGCCATTGCCATTACCGCCACAACCATCACCATAACTATTGCCATCGCTGCCACCACCTCTACGACATTCTTGTCCACCTGATGGAGGATTGGGAGTTGAAGATGAAGGTTTGGATGTTGAAACCGAAGATGAATCACAGGATGAAGTGGAAGATGAAGATGGAGATGTAGCCGAAGATGACACGTAATATGACGAGGAAGTAGAAGATGGAGACGGAGAGGGAGATGAAGCTGGCGGTTTGGCGATTGAAGCCGAAGATGAAGCCGAAGATGAAGCCGAAGATGAAGCCGAAGATGAAGCAGAAGATGAAGTATGAGATGAAGTAAAGGTAGATGAAGCAGTAGTAGAAGATGGAGTAGGAGTAGTATACGAACTTTGAACAATGCTTGTGTTTCCTTCTGCTTCTACTAATAAAATGGCCAAGAAAATGACCGATAATAAGAAATAGTCGTAAAGTCGTTTTAATTTCATTTTTGATTGTTTATTTCCAGTTGATTCGTTTCGTCAAAGTCAAAATTAGAATTATCAATATAGCATATAATTATTTTCAGATAATGAATTTTTAAATCATTTATTATTTTTTTATTTTCGGCTGATTTTTTATTTAATTAAATATTTCTATTTTTGTTCATCCGATTAGACCAAAAAAAAAGAATTTAGATCTCTTCCTTCTCTGATGAAAAAATCGTAAAGATTTCGTAAAAAAGACACGACGAACAATATCTTTAATAAGTGTTCACGGTAAAAAAAAAATCGAGAAGGAGTCAAGGTAAAGGTGATATAAACCTTGAAGCAATTAAATCATGATACGAAACATTTTATTCGAAAGCACAAGTTAATCTATAAGAAATTTGGGAAAGATGAACAAATTTTGTGCAAGTTTGTAAAATACAACACGTCGAAGCAGAAAAGAAGGAAAAACTTTTGAACATTACACTGCAGAACTTTTATTTGAAATGGTTTGTAAGAATAGCTTGTTCTCTTTTGTTCCTCGTCGGGGGTTTCATGTTATGATCAGTGAATGACCATGTTATAATTTTTAATTCCACATAAACATTACTACGCATAATGGCATGGCGTTTCTGTTACATGTAAAATGTGAGTGGCGGTCATGCATGTCATGTATTGTATCATTGATTGATCAAAATGATCAACAAAGAAGGGATGATGATGATATTTACTATTTATGGGCATTGCATTATTGGAGATGACAAACATCAGATGATTTCTGTCCAGTTGGGATAAAATCGGATGTTGTGTATTTTCGGTATCTTATCTTCATCATCGTTAATGCAAGTAAGGGATTTTTTTTTGGGGTCGCATGTTTTTTTCCATGCTTCGAATATCCCGATGCTTCTTATCAATTTGGTTATGAATTAATTACTACATAACTTATTGTTATTGTTGTTGTTATTTTATCTTGCATGTGCATGTTCGCTTATTCTTTTCCAAAAAATCCAATTGCAACAAACACAAATGAGCATGAATGATGACATTTCTTTTCCTTTTCTTAATTAAAAAAATTGATGCATCAGAGTTTTGTTCTAAAATATACAAGATGTGCAAGGTTGGTTTCCATAAAAAATCAAAGATATCAAAGATGAAAGCCCTCTTTATTTTTAGATTATTGTGTTGTGCTAGGTTTCAGAAAGCACAGCCAGTACAGTCGTGTTTTACCCCCTTCTTTCCCTATACCCGGTCATTATTAAATGACTCCCTTATTTGGTGATTTACATAAAGTTATTGTTTGAGTTTGAGTGTAATTTCATAAAACGGTTAATTTTTAAAATGTGCAGTTGCCAAGAAATGGCTGATTATTACGTATAAAAGCAAGGAATCGTTGATGATCAGTGTCATCGTCTTAATTTTAGGTTTAGTACCCATTTCAATGAAGAAATTAGTTGATAAAACAGCTTAAGTTAGTACTCGTTTCACCGAGCAATTGTCAATGAGTATGCATAATTAATTGATTGTGTTTTACTTTATTTGTTCTTTTGAAACGGCGTCGGAACAAAGTAACATAGAAAAAAGGTGTTTGAATATTAGGGTCACAATAAAAAGAAGGGCCAAAAAAGAGTTATCACTGTGAAATGTGAAAAGATGTGTCTAAAAATAAAATTTATGTATTGTTATTTTCTATTAACGGATTAAAATAGTCTTCGATATCTAAATTATATACTTGGTTGTTCATGGTATACGAATTTATTTAAATTTACATCTAAACTATTTATTATAGACTGGAATAAATTACCTTGTGTATGTTTAGGTGGACTCATAATTTTACAACATTTTTCCGAATTTATATGACAAAATATATATTCACACTTTTCGTATCATCATATATAATAAAATTCATACTATATACCAATAATCCTTTTTACAAGCATACAGTCATGCAAAGTGCCGTTATTCGTCAAATCGGGATCTTTAAATTACATAGGTTAAGTCGAGCCATGATTGTAGATTGCCAGTCTCAAATGCAGTTACTGTAAACCATTCAGCCAAACTTTCCAAGTTCTTATTATTTAATATACGTAGCTGGCGTTTTATAAACATCATTTCTCAATCTCTTGACTGTTCCATCATCATTACTTTGAATTACTGTGCGTCATAAAGATCCGGAATTTAACCTTACAAGCAAAAAATTTAGTTTTATTATTTCTATGTTTCTTATAAACATTTGCCAGATGTGTTTGCATACAAAATTTTAATAATCTATTTTTCCATTCAATCATCTCCAAAACGTGCTCCTCGTCAACCGAAGGAAAAGGTCTTTCCATTCCTGAATTATTATTTGAAATTTATCTGTTGAAAGTTTTTTTTTAGTTAATTATAAATTTACTTCTCTTTCCATTTTTCTCTTTAGTATCACCGACGAATTTCGATGGGATTCATATCCGGGGAGTAAAAAGCCCAGTCAAGAATTCGAACGCCATGACTTTCAAAAAGATCGATTATTTAATTGTTTCGTGGGTTGAAGAGCTGTCCTGTTGGAAACAAGATACGTTCGGTCCCAGAAACATAAGGAATTTTATAATTGGTAATTTTACGCGACGTTTTGTGCACCGGATCAAAAATTCTGGATCTTTATAGCGACCACTGTATATCTCCAAGTTACTTCAAGAAAAATTCTTAGTTTCATCAACAGAATTGAAACTTATATAACTATTAATATATATTCAATTGCATGTGTATCCAGAACTGAAACAACAATGTTATCGATTTTGAAGCACATATTAAAAAACCATGGCTTTATTGCTCAAAAAATCTAATTAATGAAATTTGGCAATCATTGATATAGCAATTTTTATATTCCATCAACACTAACAATACATAAAATCATTGTGGGTCATCCCGACACTCATCTTTCCGACACCCCAACATCCCGACACCCACCTTCCCGACAATCCAACGTCCGATAACCAACATCCCGACAACCCACAACCCAACTTCCGAAATCTCTAATATCCCGACATATCTAACATCCCGACGGTCCAACATCCCGACAAATCCAACTTCCCGACAAATCTAAACTTCCCGACAAACTAGTCCAATTTCTGGTTTTTATAGGATCGACCGCTAATTTTATTGACATTTAACACCAACGGGATCTTCATTTAAAGTATAAAATGATGTCGGGAAGTTGGGTTGTCGGAATGTTGGATTGTCGGAAATGTTGGACTGTCGGGTTGGGCGGCACCCAATCATTGTATAATCTACAATGGCACGCCCGGGTGAAAATTAAAAAAGTGGGATGATTAAATTATTACTCACAACCCATTTGTTGTAATTAGGATTAAACCTTAGCTCGAGTTACTGCAGGTAGCTTTGTCGGTCTATTAACAAAACTTTTTTGGAATTTTACTATATCGAGGGTTTCATCTTATATACCGCTTTAAATTCAAGCTCACTGTATACTTCACTACAAACATGTATATTTTTGTATAATATTAAAAGTCATCCTTTAATCAAGAGTGTCTTCCAAGCAATAATCATTTTAGGAAATTGTTTGCAATGCCTTTATCAATGAAACAATGAGCTGAACTGAACCTATAATTCAAAACTGGGTAAACGTATTTTTATTTTATTAATTATTATCAACATCATTAACTTTATGCTTTAAAAATATGTTATTATTAATACATTAATACATTCGTTATAAAAATAATTCAAATTTTTCTTAACACATTGTGTATTGCAAAAATCACCCTTAATTTAAGAAAACAAATAAAATATTTTTTAGAGTAGATAAATACTAAAATTTTTTTGAGGTATGTTGTCGCCGGCGACTTTTATATCCGAAATCTATAATGAGTGAGTGCCAGAACAGAAACTAATAAATTTAATTGAAAATTATTTATATATATTAAATAATTTAAACTAACAAAGCAAAGGTTTCGTACGTCATTTGATTAAGACTTTAATCTTACATTAGAAAAATTTTTTCCATATTCTTATTATAAGTGAACTCTGATTACAATTATTAGAATAAAAGGGCACAACGGCTCGGTGCACTCGATGCAATGTTTTTTCTCTGACGTTGCGTTCGAAAGATCGTATAAGATAAGAGGGTGGGTTGCTTTTTCTTAAGATTTATATTCGTGAACTTGGGGGGGTGCAGTATAACTTCGTGAGGGCAGTTTGAATATTTGAAAGATACCTTTATTTTATTATTGTCAATAAGCTCAAAATTTATTTTAGTTCTTTATTACAGTCTGATGCACTCATTTTACTTAATGAATAACAAACACAAAATTAATATTTTGAGGAAGCAAAAGAAACCTATTCTAAATAGAAAAGGCATGTATAGTTCCGGAAATTTTCTTCGAAAACTAACGTTTGAATTATCAAACATTGTTGAAAAACTCATAGGCCAGATTTTAAATTTGGTGATTGATTATACAAAGCATAAAATCTTCGGAACTCGGAAAAATTCAACCACTACTGTAAAATGATCAAATTTTAAATTTCCTAATTTGGACATTCCGTCCAATCAATGTCAAGATAAGGTAAGGTATTGGGTGAGGGACAGACTATACGTAAAATTACCTTCCTGATATTTTTAATTAATATTCCCAGACAGATTTACTGTATGATCGGTTTTCTCTTTTTCATCTCTTTGAGTCGGATTTGATTTGCTGGGTCGATCAAAAACTAAAATCAGCCACTTCATCTTTTTAATCATTATAGCAAAAGGAAATTTTTTGGAGAAGGTGTCTAACAAATAATCTAACGGAAACGTAAACGCACACGTTTAAAAAGCGGATAAAAATTTAAGAGCATATAGCATATAACTGAATATGCTGATATTAATCAAAACATGAGTTATGAACGCATTTGTCTTGTAGAAAAAAATTTTGATTTTTAAACATTTAAAGAAAAAAAATTCACAGAAACTATTATAACATGAAACCGCGGGTATTACTTTTTATTTATATTATCAAACTCAATCTAGGCCTGGATCTTCGAGAGATTTTACTACTGAATAATTTATCTAAGTTTAATAGCATAAAATGTGTTTGGCTCTGTAGGTAATATTGATCCAAAACATGTCTTCTAAAGATGACAAACACGTAAATTTCATGTAAGCACGAAAAATCCCGTATACATAAACACAGGAAAATGGCACAGATTTGCCATTTCGTTCGTGTGATGCGGCGCCGTTTGCATATTGATGTATACGGAATTTGTTGTTTCCCATGCTTACACGCATCATGCCGGACCATTAATGCTATTCCTTGTAATTCACGTGTTTGCCTTTTTATAGAGACAGGAATAGAAGGATGGAGGATGTTTCCAACATAAATAATGAACCTGCTCTAACTGACACATGCAATGCTGATTGCGTTTCTGGAGATTCTGTTGTATGTAATCTAGAAATGAAAACAAATACCTAATCGGTTGTTTCTATAAAGAGTGCGTAATCCTGACGCTGCATCTTTAGTTTTCAATTTTAGCACAAACACAAATAAATTTAATTGAAAATAGTAATTGAGATAAAGCATTGAAAGTGATAAAACTCAGATAAAGGGCGCAGCTGTGTGAATTTTTTGAAGCTGCGCTTGAAAAAAACTTCCTAAATAAGATATTACGGTGGGTCAATTTTTATGCATGAACTCATTTACATGAGTTTAAGATAAATCAATGATTTAAAAGATAGAAGCTTCAACATATCAATCACTAATAGAATTGAGGAAATTAGAAGGTGGCTCCCTAAAATTCAGTCTTTGTTTTTCTAATGTATAGATGTAGAGGAACTGACCGATTTGAATGTGAGTATGTATAGGATTACTCAGTTTGAATAGATAACAATGATAAAAAGGAGCAATTCTCGTTTTTATATCCTGAATAAAAAATAGTCTACATACGTCCATAGTTTTGGTAATTTTCTCCGAGTCATGCAACAAATTGAAATTTCTCGTGTCTCGTCGTATTTATGGATGGTTGCTAATGTCGAATATTCACTGCAAACCTTACGGCCGAAATTAAAAGTAAGATCAGACAGATTAATAAAAAGCCGGCCACGTGATCATACATTATCAAACCATATTTTCAAAAGGATATCTATACAAAAAGTGACGATATATAAGTCTAAAACTTATATATAAACACGTAATTTTCGATGAATTAGAACTATCCCCAAGTTACCATCTAATAATGATAAGAAATGCAACAAGATGAGTTCAAAATCCAAGTGTTCAAAACAAAAGTTTTGAATAAATGAAATTAATCGTAAATTAGCTTTCTCTGAACAATTTTCCTGAAGTGTGTTGCAGTGACTGAATAATTAAACTAAACTCCGTAGAATATATTAAATCTATAAAAATTTGAGGATCTTTCAATAATCAGATCCATCCAATCTAAAGAAAATTCACTCATGAAGGGATAAAATTTTCACTCGTCACCAGTAATTGGATTTGTCTCCATAAAATTTTCTGACCCAAAAATTGAGGAATTTTCTGGCGGAAGATTTTGAAGACGTTGTAATGGGCAAACCAGATAGAGATGGATATTGTGGAGTGGTAAAATTCACATTGGAGTTTGAGGCCATCTCTGATGGATTTGACTTCATAAAAGATTCTAAATCAAAATATGAGAAATTTTCTGGCGTACCGGCCGCTGAAGATTGTGTAGGCATTAAAGATAGTCGATACTGCTAGAAATGAGGATGTTGAGATCGCGAATTTTTGTTTTTAAGTTTAATAGAAATCAAATTTAAAAAAATTTATAATTTTTTAAAAAACAAAGCAAAGATTCACACGTTTGCTCTTTAACACTTTAATTTTCCATATAATGGAGAAAATATACGAGAGATTATATATCCATGCTTTTTCCTTATATGTGAGCTTAGTTGTGATATAAAACTTTGTTTATCCTTCTTAGCAAGTGCAAACAAAGGGCACGACTGCTCGGTGCAATGCAATTCTTTTTTTTTAGCATTGCATTTGAAAGACAACTTCTGAATATCAAAAAATAGTTGGCTAGTTTCGTTTTACCATTATTATTAAGCATTTTATCAAAGAACACATCTGTGTGAGGTTCTAAGATGATTTCATGCTTGCATCCATCCGAATATTTAAATGATAGACGCATCGAACCATCGTCATCAGGATCAAACGAAATAGATTTTAGCTTTGCAAAATTTTTTTTTGGTTTTTTATTACTATCCGGCGTACTCATTTTACTATACCGAATGAATAAGAAAGGTCAAAAAGCAAAAACGATAAGATAAAAAAGGACGACGTACTTGTAATTTATAATTTTCGCCAGAACCACGTGTATACATACACACAAGGAACCCTTATCGGTATTAACGTTAACACACGATTAAAATAAAACTCGGAGTATCTATGAAAAAGAATCCGATCACGTTACAGAAAATTTCATTCATCTGATAAAATTCAAGGAAGTTTCCGTTAAACAAGGATCACATAAATATTCACTTGAACTAACTTATTTTCACAAAAAACGACGATAAGAGAAAAGCGCATTACATGAATTTGCAGTAAATACAAACGAATGTTTAATCTTCATTACAAAAGAAATTACATGGTAAAGTTTAGAAAATTTATTATCTCAAAAGATAATAAAATATGCAAGCAATAAGTAATATATATATATATATATATTGAATTTCAATCAGGTAAATGACTCATGTTCTTAATACATGTTAGTAAGCCTAATATTTTTTTTAATAGATAAATAAAAAATTAACCAAAAATGCTAATTATTTATGATTTATACAGAATTACTCGTACCCTAACAATAATTGCAAACTTTTGCAGCAACGAACTTAAGATAATCAATAAATTTCATTGTATAAGTATATTAAAACTTTTTTGATGATTATCCACCACAAAATTGGAGGAGTCACTGAATTGAAATTCGCGCACAGGTCCGAAGTTGTTTTAACGACTGAATAATCAAGCCTAACTCCGTAGAATATAATGATTCAAAATATAAAAAGATTTGTGGATTTTCGATGAATCAGATCCATAGTAAGTTACAATCTAATGTCGCATTCCGGGAAGTTAATAATTGTGAAGTGGTAGAATTTATGCTCGGGATTGATATCATCTCTGATAACTGAGTAATTGTGCTTGGTTCCATAGAATACACTAAACCAAAATATGGTGGTGTCTCTTGCGAACCAGCCATAAATGGATACTGTGAAATTGTAGAAATTGCGCTCGGGCATGATAACCGAGTAATTGGGCTTGGCTCCATAAAATTTTCTGAATCAAAATATGAATATATTTCTGGCGTACCAGCCGCTAAAGATTGTGAAGGCGCTGTAATGGGTGAACCAGCTAGAGATGAATATTGTGAAGTGGTAAAATTTATGCTCGGGCTTGATATTATCTCTGATGACTGAGTAATTGTGCTTGGTTCCATAGAATACATTGAACCAACATATGTTGGTGTTTCTTGCGAACCAGCCATAGATGGATACTGTGAAATTGTAGAAATTGCGCTCGGGCATGATAACCGAGTAATTGGAAAATTTTCTGAATCAAAATATGATGATATTTCTGGTGTACCAGCCGCTGAAGATTGTGAAGGCATTGAAATAGTCGATCCTGCTAGAAATGGGGATGTTGAGATCGCCGAATCGAAATAGCATCGTTGTGGTTTATTCCTAGAATGACGCGCGAATTTTTGTTTTTAAGTTTAATAGAAATCAAATTTAAAAAAATTTATAATTTTTTAAAAAACAAAGCAAAGACTCACACGTTAGTTGGCGTTTGCTCTTTAACACTTTTTAATTTTCCATATAATGGAGAAAATACACGAGAGATTATATCTCCATGCTTTTTCTTTATATGTGAGCTTAGTTGTGATATAAAACTTTGTTTATCCTTCTTAGAAAGTGCAAACAAAGGGCACAACTGCTCGGTGCAATGCAATTCTTTTTCTTCTAAAATTGCATTTGAAAGACAACTTCTGAATATTAAAAAATAGTTGGGTAGTTTCGTTTTACCATTATTAAGCATTTTATCAAAGAACACCTCTGTGTGAGGTTCTAAGATAATTTCATGCTCGCATTCATCCGAATATTTAAATGATAGACGCATCGAACCATCGTCATTAAGATCAAACGAAATAGATGTTGAATTTGCAAAATCTTTTTGTGGTTTTTTATTACTAACCGGCGTACTCATTTTATTATATCGAATGAATAAGAAAGGTAAAGAAAGCAGAAAACAAACCTTTTTATTGAGTTGAAAAAATTAGCATACGTGTATAGTTCCGTTAATTTTTTCTAAAAAAGAATTAACGCACATTGCTGATCTTCTGCCATAACGATAATGATAAGGACCGATAACTCCGTAGCGGTAGATTTTCTCTAAGGAGTTATTAACGTTTAATTATGCTATAAATAACTTGTTGCAGAATCAAGAAAGAATATAACTACGAACAGTTAAAAATATTTATAACGAACCTATAGCAAATTCAATGCTTGTGTTATGGTTCATTATATCCAAGTGCAACAGAAACGGTGTAAGAAATTCTAAAATAATTTACACCATTACTGTTGTACTTGACCCATGAACAGTTTTTGCTGTATTAATTTTCCGCTGTATAACTAGAATTAACCTGACCGGTTTTACTGAACCAATTTCAAATTTCCTAATCTGTAATTCATTCAATAGGAGTGCGCAAATAACCAATAAGAATTGATCAACTCGGCAGAACAAATCCGACTCAAAGAGAAACTATACCAGGGACACGGAAAAATCCCGTTTTATTCCGAAATTGAATTTTATTAATCATATATATTAATTATTATTATAATATATAATCGTAAGGCACGAAAAGATTCCTGGCAAGGATTTTTCCTATCACTACGCTCTATACTACATGATGAATTGGTAATTAAACATATTTAATACCTATTTCACTAATTGATATGAAATTTTATTCCAAAATCAATTCAATTGTCCATTCTTGTAAAGTGTCATTATTATTAAGTGTCGAATTTAACGTTTGTTGTGTTATTTGCACAGGATTATGATTTTCTTCTAATTTTTTATGACTTGCTATATTAATATGCGAAATACATGTAATAGTTGTTTAATGCTCCCATTTAATTGGATGACTGCAAACTGACACTCACGCAATAAAATTCCGTTCTCATAACGAAAATCTCTTGTGCACAACTATATGCAGTTATTCGTTTTTGATTAAGAGACATTTTTCATAAATAAACAAAACGATAATTTTTGTTCAAATGAAATATTCAATAATCATACATATATTTTATAAAAATTCCCTTTTTATACCAATTTATTCCATTTTCTTCCTTTGTTTCAAAATTTCATATCAGAATTTTTCCGGGTCCCTGAGCCATACATTAATGCTGCAGATATTTATAGCTTTGGAATGTTTGTAACTGGTAAACGGCCATTGGTGAGCGGAATCACAATAAATATCTCGTGACACTTACAAAGGAGATATCCGAGAGATAGGCAATGCGTGGTTTGAAGAAAAATAATTAATTGAACTCTTATCTAACTACATTTCTGCTTTTATTTCTTTTGTGCAAACCGAAATTGATATATAGCTTTATTGTGCTCTAAGGCTTTACCATTTTTGCCATAAAAGTTGATGCAGTTCGTTGATTATTTATTGGAATTTTTTTATTATTTTGGAATAAATCTAATTTTATGTTTGAATTGAATATTATTTAAATTACGTTAATAAACCTTGTAGTTATTTTTGTTGTTTTGAATTTATATTAATGAATTGAATTACTTTGTTAATTAAAATTAAATATTTACTTTGAACTTTACCTTTGATTACACAATCTCTTGGCATAAAAGATCTTCCCTAGTGATATCCCACTGATTTTATTATTTTGACAATTAAAAAATTGCTATATATAAATCCGTGTTAACCGTCAAAAAATATACGGTTAACCTCTTAAGAATTCTTAACGGTTAAGATCATTAATTGATTGAAGGGTGGCAAGGCAGGTTATACAATAGAATCATCTCGACTGGATAGACCGAAGGAGGATTTCTTACCACGCTTCGGCGTAAATCGAAACATCTCTAGTAAGTGCGTTGAGCCAATTATATTGTTGCGCACTTCCTGGATTTAGTGGATTTTGAGGGCAAATGCAGCAAGGTAAGCAAAGGAGCTAGACTGAAATGTTAACTAATAAAGGATTTCTTAAAGGTTTCCTATGGCAATTTGTACGCAAATTAACCTTTAATAATATTGGTTTATTTTAATAGGGCGCAAAGGAGGTTTCTGATCACCAGCAATAAAAAAGAGAGTCTAAACTAGACTACAAAGGAATTCCGAGAAGGTTTCTGATCACCTAAAACACAATAACGCGCGTCAAGAAGGTTACTTCGGGAGCAACAACCCAGATGATTTCAGCTAACCAAAAACTACAATGTTCAAATTCGATGGCTGGACTTAGTTTCTTCTAACACAATCAAAAAACGAAGTATGGATTATTTTAGGTGAAGGTCATTCACCACTTGTACGCAAGGTTTGAGGTCTACCAAATAAAGGGAAAAATAACTATTATAAGCAAAAAGGAATAAATTACAGGCAAGAGATTAATTTTATTTATTTGCGAATATAGTTGTAATAACGTTATTGAGATAGGATGCTTAGTTGTCGGTCACGAATTATTCGATCGCTTGCAAACTAATTATTACTATATTTGCATGTCACTGGAGCGTAACTTAATTATTAGCTCTTAGGTAGATGATGATCGAATAGCATTTATCGTTGCAAAAATGGTAGCGATAGTTTCTCTTGACGAAAATTAAGAATTAAGGAATACGCAATTTAATGTTCCTCTAGTAACAATATACGATCATTTTCCTATGTATTTGCTTACTTTCATGTGCGGATAGAATATTCGTAGATGCAAGACTGATGTGATGGAGCCCAGCCAGTCATAATTTTTATGGAATGCTCGATCGATGAATAAGTCAAGTTATTAGAACCAGTGATTGTTATGAGAGTATGACGTATGTGACAGAAAAAGTAAAGGGTCTACTATAAAGGGAGTCGATGTATAATTTGCCACATAAAATGCGCCAATCAAAATAGACCACATGATTTGCACGTGGAAATGAATTGGAATTGTAACGTGCTTCCTTTGTAATTCTGGCTAACCTATAACTTTCCTCTGTTTAATATACCCTCCCCATGCAAAAGACCGCGGGTCAGAATCAATTTCCAAGCAGATTTAAGGTCTAATTTTCGTGCATAAACTATTCGAGATCCATAAAAATTCCCGAAGGCTTTATTTCTTTTGCCATAAAAAGTCGATGCATTTCGTTTAATTATTTGATTATTTAATATTTTGATTGGAATTTGCTCGTATTATTTTAGAATAAACCTATTTTTATTATTGAGTCGAAAATTATTAAAATTTTGCTAGCGAACCTTTTTGTTATTTGGATTTATATTTTATTAATTAAATGATATTATTTTGTTAATTCAATTAAATATTTTATTTGTACTTTACCTTTGATTGCACAATCTTCATGAAGATTGGCATAGAAGACCTTTAGAACCCTAATGATACACTGTTAATCATTCAATCTACTCACGACCTTTGTTGCTTCTATAATTCTTTAGTCAACCTAACTTATTAAAAATATTGGGAAGAGAATTTTTTATATTCTTAATCTCAACTCTAACCCAAATTATAACCTAATCTTCCTTGAGTAGTATTTTCCTTCCATGCATTTAGGATGCTATACTTTCGAGATTTCGTTCGTTCAAGATTGTGTATTCAGGATGCCCTTCATTCGGGATTCTTTTTGTCGGGTTTATAACTGTCGGATTGTGTTTGTTGAGATTTCGTGCCAGACCCATCTGTACATGTACAGGATCATAATAAATCTCTGTGAGCAAAAATAGCACATTCGCCATAGAATTTATATATGTTCATTAAATTTTGGTAATAGGCGTTGTTAAATATCTTCAAAAATGAAAAATAGTGCATCCGAGAATGCCGCAAGCTAATATGGTATCTACACTCGGTAGACAAAAGTCCGATGATCGATGTAATTAAGGGAGTAATTTCAAATGACTATTGTACAACAAGGAAAGGTTCAATTACGACGCACAATAGTATATTAGAAAGCTAAAATTTCAAGCTTTCAAACAAAATAAAAAAAATCAATGTCAAACCCAACCAATGCTCTTAAAAATTATGGTGAGATTATCGGCGCTTGGAAGTGTGGTTTATCCGAAAAACAAATTGGAGATACTCTGGGACGACCCAAATCTACTTTCATATATGTTATTAATAAACACCAAGACTTTGGCCACACTACAGTTGCTCCCCGAAGCGGTAGACCACCAAAATTAGATGATAGAGCCACTCGAAGATTAATCAATATTATTAAAGAAGATCGATAACAAGCAATTGCTGAAATTACCAAAAAATTTAATACTGTCATGACTGTAACTGTTAGTGAGAGAATATACGACGTGCTCTTCATGAATCTGGGTTTTTTGGTTGGGCTGGGATGAGTAAACTTATATAGCTGAGAAAAACCGTTAAAAACGATTAAAATGTTGTTTAGAAAGGAAAAATTGGATTAATGAATGGGAATTAGTAGTTTGGAGTGACGAATCAAGATACTTAATATTCTGAAATGATTACCGGCAATGGGTTTGGTGCCAAACACATGAAAAATATGAGGTTGAATGTCTTCTTCCTATTATGAAATCGGGTAATCAGGGAGTAATGGTATGGGGATGTTTTACTCAAAATGCATTTGGACCTTTAATTGAAGTTGAAGGTGGAATTACTGGTATAAAGTATATAGAAATAATGGAACAGAATCGTCTGCCATTTCTAAAATGATTTGCCAGGTAGTTTTGTTCATCTTTTTCAAGATGACAATGCGCCAGTTCACAGATTTAGTCCAGTTAGTCAGTGGAAGGAGGAAAATTTAATCACAACACTTCCATGGCCTTCCCAAGCCCTGTTCTAAATTATAATTGATCATTTGTGTGATGTTTTGGAAAGATGAATTCGTAAATGTCCAAATGACCCAAAATTTGGATGCATTTGCGGAGGAATGGGAAGCAAATGAACCGGAAATTTTAAGAAATTTGGTTGAAAGTATGCCGAGAAAGTGCAAGCTGTAATTGATGTAAATGGGAAATCCAACCC